GTAGCCACTAGATGGCAGTTCCATACTTTCCCTTGGATTGGGAAATAGTCGCGCGATGAGAACGAGCCTTAAAGGACAACCCGACTTTGAATGCGTGTACTCACGGGCATGTATTTTGCTCGCGTATAGGTTCGTAGGTGAGGAAGACGACGACGAATGTGATCAAACTAACGTTGTCGAAATTTTCCAGAACACCTTCACCGATTGTAATGATTAAGGTCTCAAAAAATAGGAGAAAAATAAACGAAGCGTTTCATGTAGGTTAAAATGTTCTTCGGTCTTTAGTATGTCAGCACTGACCGAGTGAAGAAAATTAAATGCCCGCTGGCAAGATGTTTCGAGTATATAGAGTGGTAGCGGCCATGAACTTGTCTGAGCCGCTACCGCGTCTCTTGATGACATCAGGCAATGAACTTGCCTTTTTTTAAACCAAAGGTGTTTTTGGTGGGATATACAATGGTCACGATACAACCCAATAATAATAGTCGGGATATACCCATATACCACTTACATCCATTGTTTTCAATCGATGTATAAATGTTTATTGACAAAAACAAAAAACACGTATTTCCTCATTTTTCGTGAGCAATCACATGGCGTAAATGGAACGTAAGTAGGAGTGCTTGTTTAATAGATATTACAAAAACATTTCACCTGTAGGGTAGTTCACCCCCTTGAGGTGGTGTAGCATTAGTGGACAACATTGTATTCTCACCGGCCTTATACAGAATACGTTTATGTCAAGTTTCGTCGAAATCCCTCCCCTGCTTCTACGAAAAGTAATATAAAAATCAAATTTTAGCCAAACTTTGGGGGGTTGTTTTACCCCTTAAATGTGGACCTTTGCAAATAAAAAAGAAACACGTGTCTCTTAGATTTTTGTGTTCTGCAATATGTATGAAAATCAATATGATCTGCGGCGGACACTTGGGAATGTATGGGTTACTATGTAGACAAATAGATAAGGTCAATGTTAGTTGCTAATTTGTTATTCAGTATCGTCATAAATGTACCGATCATTCAGTGTGTTAATTTAGAATTACTCTTCCCTCACCCTAGAAATATTTTCGGTCTGTTTTAAAGCATCTATGATACAAATTCTTATCTTATGAATGTTAACTTTTAAATTAATCTTAACTCTAAAACTACCGGCGGATTTTTTTGGCTTGGTGGGCCATCTGAAATCCGTCATCTTGGTGGGTTAGGTAGTTCAAATGGTAGTTAACTACTCCTACTTTTTAAAATATGAATTGGACTCAGCAAGGAGTCATTCAAAGAATAATTTGACAGCTTTGCTACACCTCACATCAAAGTTACTGTTTGCACGTTCATTTATCCGATCATTCTTTATCGTTTAGGTATTGGAAAGAAAAAATACATCTTGATTGCACTTTAAAGTTGAAAATTATATTTGGACACGAGATTATCACTATTGCTTTTATGAGTTACATGAGTTGCTATACAATGATGTATACTAGGAACAGTTGCCGTTAACTGCTCTTAAGATAAGCGAGAATTGTAATACGTAACAGGATTTCAGTTTCAATACAACGGCTTTGCGTTTCACACTCATCTTCGAAAGCAAGTGCAGAGAATACACTTCACTACTGTTAAATTCCACTTTCACTTGTGGGGCAATTAGCTGCATTGATAGCGAACATTGTTGACACTTTGAGTTCAAAAAGATGACTCCTGTCGCTTATGCGCCCGCATGTATGTACATACATCTTGCAATGTACGTATTTTTCTTTTTGGTAAACACGTTGCAGAATCGTATAAATGTTCAATCTGAGTATTTTGTGAAAAAGTAAAAATATTATAGTTTTTATTCCCTAGGCTGTAGTGCTCTATCAATAATATAATGCACTTTCTTGCGATTTTTCATAGAAACTGCTAGTGTCGTACGAGATATATTGCATAATTAAAATTACTGAAATATATAAATTAAAGTTAAATATACTCAGGTAGCCAAACAAAAAAATGTTCTCACAACTAATTCGCAAAACAATTTAATTTACCTTTGTGAGTGATACGTAAATTCCTTGAAATGATTTCTTGAACAAGCAACGAGAGTATATTAAAGATTAATGACACTTAAAAAGAATATTTATTCAATGCAAATGTTTTAATAGAAAAATTGTCCACATTTTGGTCGATTTAAACTAACTGGGTCTCCTGTCTTCGTATACTTTAACATGCATTCAAAATCTTTTTAAATAATTTTGATAACATGACAACCTATAAAGTGAATGCATAAATGATTCATAAACCTAAAGCAGTGAAAGAACATATTGGCAAACTCACATCAATGTAGCATATTTATCAATGCTACTTGTGTATATTGAACCAATCCGACACTACTTAGATGCATTGAAAATCTCTAAGTATAAGTGTAAAATGATGTGTGCGTGTGAGTGTACTTATAAAGAATAAAAAATATGTGTGCATCTTGTACAACAAATAGTTCTTGGATGTTTATTTTTCAGGGTGCATAAACTTTGAATAGCAAATACCTTTTTAATTGAATTTTTAAAGTATCAGTTCTGCATATATAGAAAAGCACTGCTAAATTTATCTCGGACGAGATATATTTAATCCAAAAATAAATGTGCATTAAACAAGAAATTAAGAATTCAATCCAAAATTCAACATCCCAACATCCAACTTATCATTTAGAACCCATCCTCCATAATTGTATTCTTGTAAGGATGGAACCTCGGTTTGAATTGCCTGTCATTAAAAAAAAAATCCAGTTAATGTTACTAGATGCGCCTGGTCAAAAGATTTTTAGTTATCATTAATGAGAAAGTCTGATTAATATGACTAGAAAGTTCTGATTACTATGAAGTCTGGTTGAATATATGGTTATCTTAATCTGATTCTTAAACTACTGATCGAATATCTAGTGGAAACTTCTTGTTCTTCTACTCAGAAATTCTCTCTTAATTTAACAGCAAAAGTATTAACGTAGCCAGATAATATTTTACCAGAAACATCTGATAATTTCAATCAGAAAAATAGTAAGAGCATATTTAAAAAACGAATACAGTTAAAATATACGGAATTCTGGTTCTTTCAACTGGACGTTTTTTTAATGATAAGGACAATTCGATGTCTGAAGCATGTTTCATTATCCGTACTTTACTGACTTGGTATTTGTACCGTTTAGCATTTTATCTTTACGATACCATGATCAATCGGTACAAATTAATATTCATTAAAATAATACTAGGTGAAGAATTACAATGAACACTTAACAAAATCTAATTGAAAGAACCAAAATTCTGGTTACTATAACCGAATTGGATTGTTGAATATGCCCTTATTACCTTTCTAGTACAAAGCATCAATAACTTGTAGTAAAATATTATCTGGTTGAAATAACGATACATAATGATAAAGTTAATTATTTATTCTAGATGAGGAAAGTAGGCTGGAACCAAACATAGTTGGGGCATCGAAGAGAAACATAGTTAATTATCCCTTTAAATTCACAGCATATTCTCAGAGAAAAATATCCTTTATAAAACTTTTTTTGTCAAAAATGTATCACTAGCATCTCCCCATCACGATTTTGCTCGCGACATGAGCAGCTTATCGATAAAATATCATCATTTCACTAGTGAGAGAGGCTCCAAAAACACTCGCTTCCAAGCGGGTATACTGAAAACTATAAAACCAGTTTTTGTGTAATTAATGTTATCAGAAATAATAAGCGGGAAACTTCAAACCAGAATAATCAACCAGACTTCAGTAAATCAGAATTTTCTAATTGTGTTAATCAAACTTTCTCATTAATGGTAACTAAATATGTTTTAACCAGACGTATCTAATCACATTAACCAAAGCTTTTTTTAAATACATCGTTAATTGTGTTGACTGTATTGAACCTGTCATGTAATTCCTGTTATTATAGAAAACCGATTTCAAGCATTATATCATTTTATATTTTAAAATAGCATGCTAATATTCGAACTCACTGATGCATCATGTGTCATAAAAAGTATTTTAATGCATTTAGGAAAAATTTCAAATTGGAAAGGGTTAATATTAAGGAGACAACAAACGGGCGTCTCGCATGCAGCGTATTCGCGTCGTGCCTTTTCCATTAAAAACCTTACATATTTCATATCCGGCATGCGCTGTCCACCCGTGTATTCTTTCCATTAGAAAATATTTGTTTCATATTGGACGTAACACACTCGTCTGTCCTCTTCCTTAATTAAAGTGATATGAAAGGGTCATTATATATATAAAACATCAAAATATTTATAAAACCTTTCTCCAAACAGAGTGCACCGAAACATTTGGAACTTCAGCACGTGATTATGGAGGCCCTAAGGAAGAACGCGGTGCTCTTAAGCATTTCATTTTTTGTACATTTTCTTTATGTATCCCAGACTAGAACCAAGAATACATTTTTTTTTGGAGAAATGAAATTTCATGAGCATCGCGTTCTTCCTTAAGACCTTCGTAATCACATGCTGAAGTTTCAAATGACTCGGTGCACCCGGTTTAGTGATAAGTATACGCGCGCGCGTGCGTGCGCGTGTGTGTGTGTGTGTGTGTGTGGCCTTTCGTATCATCTTAAGCATTCGGAAACTTTCAACGTTCTGTGTGTTAAACTGTTTAGACTGGGTCGAAATGTAAATAGGACTCAAAAGTCGGTGGTCCTTAGATATTTTTCATTAACATGTTACGCACTTAATTTCCTACCATGGTTATACTGCCTAATGAAAATACTCCGTTCGTGTATCATTTATGCAAGGCATTCCTTGCTCACTGTTGTACTTTAAAATAAGTAAAAGAAATATATTTGAACAATTATTGAAACAAACAAAATGTGAATGAAAGATATACCTTTTTCCCTTTATAGTAGTTTTATAATAATCGATGTAGTAATTCCGCCTATTTAAAATCCATAACACAATTAAATATATATACCTACATTAATTAGTGTCATTTCATATTTAAGGTATTTCTACCAGCAAATAAATAAATAATCAATATATGTACTTTAATGGTGTACAGAAAAGATTATGACCGAACTGATGACGCATATACTAGTTGAGCACACGAGTAATAGAGCATGTTAGAATGAATGACTTGTAAAATAAAACACTAAACAAACCATAATAAAATAAATAAACGCATCGAATTATTATAGCACAATTGATTTTACGGTTTAGTACATACATGAGCAACGGGCAAACTATAGTCATAAATGCGTATTTATTGACCTATTGAATTATACTTTTTCCAATGTTATTTGACATTCTGAAGACATGAATAGTTAGATTTCCGCAATTATATTTGTTGCAAGCAAATAAGATTTGAGCACGTTTAACAGTTGTAGATTTATGTATCTAAGCAAGGTAGTTTGTAGTAAATGTAAATAAATACATTTAAGATAGTCCTAATTATTAAATAATAAAATTGCCATGTAACTTTGTTAGTTTATTAATTTGAAACGGCAGTTGTCGAACGCCCAGATTGGCTAGTGAGTAGGAACTTCAATGAACTTTCTCATCATTTCAACCTTCATGTCTCCTTCGGGTCTATTTAGACGAGACCTTACTTTCTTTTTTTCATATTTTTCTGCTTGGGTTTTAATTACCTAAATATTAATTACTTAAACAAATTTGTGATGGTACTATGTTCTTCTCATTTAATCATCATTTGAATCCGATGGCAGTAAGCGATGTGGAAGCTGAGGAATGCATACAGGTTAATCACGACGGTCAAAGTATGTTTATGTGTTACAAGCAATAAAATATTGAATAAAGCATGTAGGCTTAACTTAATATTTTCATTGACAAACTAAGCAATGCCGCGTTAAATTTGCCGTTCATACATGTATGACATGTGCATATTAAATCACACGATGCTAGTGTTCGATTTCTTGCGTGCTCAAAACTCCGTTGTACATATATTGTAGTATTTTTTAATTTAACGTTCACATGTATAATTTATACATAGACAGTTTCGTTTTGTAAACGTTTCATATAAATATGATAAGTACTGCCACTGTAACAAATTCTTGGAAAGGTTCGATCCCAGTTTAGTGTAAATCGATGCATCTTATTTAAGAAGTGGACTTGCAAGTTAGACAGTACTAAAGGAAATGATATAAATGCTTTGTGATGCACTAAATTAATTCTTTGAATATTAATAAACGTTACGTAACATTTTACAATACACCATTAGTTGGTGATTCACGGATAAAATTTGCGTTATAGTTTTTTTGGGCGCTGACAGCAAATTAGTTGTGACGTCAGTTGATATTATTTAAAAATCTTTAAATATCTCTCGTCACATGAACCGAATTATCAAAGCAACATACTTGAATACAAATACTGACACTCTTCGAGATCATATTGAACTCAAATAAACGTGTATCTTAGGTAATGAACTAAAATGTTAATTACAAGTTTACTGGCCTCGGGATTAGATATTTAGTAATCTCTATTTTTTAAATTTTCATACAAATAAATATTGTTCTATCCATCGGAGGCGTCAATTTGTAATATCTAACACGTGTTTAGGCTATAATTTAAGACCTTATATTCGAGTACCACAGCCTCCATCGAATCATTCGGAATACAATTAGACACGGGCGCAATTAAACATAAAAACGTACACCTGAAAATACTGAAACCAATTTTATCAATATCAAATGCAACAAATAAGTTCACGTCTTTGATACCTTAACGTAATGGAGAACATTTCAGTTCCCTATTAAAGGAAGACTTCTAATTTGTTAACTGTACATTAAGATGTTAAAATGTGCCATATTACAATGCAAAGAAAGCTTATTTCTTGCAACAATCGCAACATTTACGTGCATATTTCACAACGCTGTTCAGCAACTTGCCTTTCAGGTAGTAGTAGAAACTGAGAAATAATTCCTGTTGGTTGTTGTTAATATAAATAAATAGGTGATTTTAACAACCGATCGATTACAGTCAGCATATGAGTCCCAGTTTCCACTATACGGAATGACACACGACCAACGCTTGTGCCAATATATCATATTATTTTATATTAGTTTAACTTTCACCATCATCTTTTTTCGATCAGTTTATCGTCAGCAACATATAAATTGGAAATGCTGTTTATGACGAATGTTACCGACTGCGATAATATAAGTGATGTTAACTGGTTCAATTTGACTATTAAAGTCTGTTTATCAGTTCCAACTTGTATTAAACAAAATTGCACATATGGAAAGTTTTCACAGCAAAACACGCGAGTTTCTCATGTAACCTTAGCTTCCACCTTCAACTTCTTCTCTTCAACTAATTTCACATCTGTCACGTGCAAGTTGTGAACACTTCGCGCAGCAAATTTAATAACAGATTGCGTTGATACCTGAGTAGTATGTCTCAGGTCCAATCGTTTGAGCACTTTACACTTAGTAAGATGGTCTAGGGTAACCTCCGTAAGTAACCTGCAGTTCGACAAATTCAAAGATTCTAGATTATTAATTGCTTGTGCAGGTGCAGTGGCCAATTGAGCTACACCGGCGTCGGTGACACGTCCACAAGAGGAAAGATTCAACGTCTCCAAAAAAGGTAGGTGCAGTGCTATGTAACGAAGAGCTACGTCGGTTATGTCGCATCCCGCCAGCGAGAGACTCTTAAGATGTTTCAACCTAGAGGTCTTGTCCACCAGTCCCGGCCTGGAATCCGCAGGTGGACTAAGAATCTCTCTTAAACTAGAATCGTTTAATCCAGCGACGTTACTTAGGTCCAGCGAAACAAGAGGTGGACAGGAACAGGTTCGCAGAGCACAAACGCCAGTCCAGGTACAACCTTGCAGAGACAGGGTGCGCAGTTGTGGTAACCTGTTAAGTAACCAAGCCAATTGCCCCTTGGTAACACACGTCCAGTCCAAAGATAGATTTCCTGGTTGACGTCTAGCAATGCCTGTTAGGTGATTAGGTGTCAGGTGGCAATGAGACATGTCGAGTTTCTTCCAAAGATTTGGGTCAACGGTGCATATCGCCCAGGTTCGACAAACCAAGGCACAATTCGCCAAGTCCTTTATACTTAAATACCTAAAGATCGATAATAAAACGATCTTGTTGTAAACTAGGGACTGCCCATTGAGATCGGTTCCCAGTCGTTGAACCGGGGATTGAAGTTGTACAGGCCTTACGACCACACTCGGTCTTTTTAATGTCTTGTTAGATGAACCGGTTAATTGTATCGCTAATTGTGTACGCAGAGCTGTTTTTTGTTCGCCCTCTGCTGGCTCTCTATCGCTCCATGCCTGCAATTTATGAAAATCAAGCAAAATTTTAAATCATTGGTACAAGAATAGTATAGCAAACATATAACCACATACGTATAAAACCTACTAATATAATCTCAAGCAAAATTAAATAATTCAACTTCATTAAAAAAGAAAGTGTACTTATCTTACGTTCATCAGTTTGCATTCAGAAACATCTTTAAGGTGATGTGATAGGATCATTCCATATATATAAAACGTAAAAATATTTATAAAGCTTTCCTCCAGAGTGCACTGAATCATTTGAAACTTCAGCACGTGATTATGGAGGCCCTAAGAAAGAACGTGGTGCTCATGAAACTTCATTTTTAATACAAAATTATTTTTATTTATCGCAGACTAGAACCAAGAATACATATTTACAACAAAAATTGTATGAGCATCGCATACTTTCTTAGGGCCTCCATAATCACGTGCTGATGTTTCAAATGATTCGGTGCACCCAAATTGGAGAAAAGTTTTATAAATATTTTTACGTTATATATATATATATAATTTTCCTTCCATATCACCTTAAAGGTTTGTACATGTAAAGTGAACTTACTTCAGTTGCGTGAGGCCTGGTTCGTTTACTTGGTGTTGTGGCTCTCTCAGAATCAGTTGTGGGAGCAGATGAAGCTGCACTGGAAACAGAAATCTTTCGAGCCCTTGCTTTCGGCTGTCGAGGTCTGTAATCTAAATTGCGCCCACTTTCGCAACACTGCGGACATTCCCAACTATTTGGAAGATCCTCGCTGGTTGCTATCCTTTGAGGATCTAGTCCCACGCACTCCGGATGAATGATGTCAAAGCACACTGAACACTCAAGCAAACTGGACGGCGTTACTGGTGTCGGCTTACCTGCATTAGAGTGAAATAGCGGTAACACTGTATTAAAAGTAGATAGAATTTACTATTTTTATTTATTTCTTTACCTTTTACTTCCCCGCGATTGTGAACAGTACCACCATCGAGAAATGATGGTGATACTCTTACAAGTATTAATATATATTACTAAATAAAAAATGAACGAGACTGAATTGGTATTACTATTATCGATTCTAGCACTAAATCTACCACCGGCTGATCAAAAGATCATTTTCAAATGGTATTGGCAATGAGGGTATATAAATTGTCGGTAGATTTAGTGAAAAAGTAAAATGAAGGATCTAAGTTGCTATAATAATCTTTTGGTATATATTTCAAACTAAATTTATATATAATAAGTGAGCTAAACAGTGACATACCCATAAGGGGTGACGGTTGTTGCCCCCAACCATCCAAATGGCAAACTTTACAGGCTGCAGTAACAGGTAGCATAGGTCTGAGACATTGCCTCATTAAACATGTCTGCTTTGCACGACCACTCCCTCCAAATTTGACCATATCTTGACAATAAACACATTCTCCGCAATCAGATCGCGTACATGCTTCGCATTTTTTACATCTAGTACGTCTTCTTCTAGGGAATGTCGACCTTCCGCTTTCTTTTAGATTTTCAAACTTCTCAAGAGATTGCTGCCTCTGCATTTTAGTATAAGTTTTCTTTGCTGCTTTCAGGCGTTCCTATTTCGATTAAGAATTTTTTTCATTATAAATACATATAAAAGGATCAATTTGTTAAAAATATTACTTTAAAAAGATAAATAATTACTCGTTCAGCTATAGTCATTGGTGGAGGTGGAGGTAAAACTGGGTTTCCAGTTACTGCAGCATCTGGATTATCATGACGATGTTGTTCCACTAGGCACCGTACATCGTGAATTAAGGCCACAGGATCGCGTATTAAATCGGGTACATTCTTTTTGGTAGAAGGCAACGAATGCAGATACATTACAATCGACTTTAAACCATGTAGTTCGAATGGTGTTAAATGAATATGTTGGTGGTGTTGTGGAACAAGATGCTGATGTTGTGACTCTGGAATATCCAAATGACTTCGACCTAGGAGGACATGGACGTACCTCTCTAGAACATACCTAAGAACAAAAATTACAGCAAATATTTATTCCAATTTATTAAATTTTTACATCACTTTTTGGATACTTCTTATCATCGTCTGATTAATAACATTGATGTAGAAATATTAATGTTAAGAATATCTGGAGCAAATTGAAATAAGAGATGGATGTAGACAACAGGAAATATCTAATTCTGATTTAGAACAAATGATTTCTGTTTATATGTAGATACAAAAATATATCTCTAATGTATATGCATGTAAATATATTTTTATATATAAAATCGTATTTACCACAGCATTTCAGTGAAGAATGGGTAACGGAATTTTTGTGGGACTTTTGTATGTTCCTCAACTTGTGCAACTTTCAGTTGTTTTTCAATACCAAAACTGTGAAGGAAGTTCCCACCAAAAACTAAAGAATCTTGTGGTGTATACACAGCATGAATCCAACCAGTTGGGATAAATAATGTCATTCCTGCAGTGAGTGATATTCTTCCACATCTATCTACCATATCTCCAAAGAAGACATCTGATTGTTTTCCACTCAACACCCACTCTTGATATAAAGCCAAATTTTTCTCTGTAGGTGGGATTAACCAAAATATTTTTCCACCGCGAAGGATGTGATACCAAACACTAGTACCTCCAAAATCGACATGAAAATCTGTATAACAACCCTTCACTGACATTAAACAGTATTTTTGTACTTTTGGATACATCATATCTTCCAAGAGATTTGTTGCTTCAACTTGAGCCTCCTTCAAGTGCCGTGGCCAAACAACATCAACCCAATCTATTTGTCTTACTAGCGTTGGTGATTGAACATAATTTTCTAGCTTGGTATGGCTGAATTCCAAAGAAATAACATTTAGAAGACGGTCCTTATTTGTTTCTTCATAGTATCTCTGCCAATCCTTCATTGACATGTCTTCATTTTTCTGTGTATTAACATCCATAACATCTAAGGTTCTCTTAGATCCTAAAAACAATATAACAAAATATAATCGTATAATAAAATTATAATGAAATTGAATTTCAGAAATAATTTGTCTTCCACAATAAATAAATAAAAAATAATATTCTGAAAAAAAAAACTGTGTAATTAGTAAAGCAAGAGAGAATGGTGCAGCATTAAAAGAAAGTTAATACAATGTTTTCTTTACGTGAGTTTTTTGTAGAGATATGAAACATGTAACAATATTACCTGTTAGCATTAAGAATACCTTACAAAGTTTAACAGGTTTATAATTCATAGAATCTAAAAATCACTTATTGTTGTTATTGTTATGTAATCTGCAGATTAATGAGTAAGAATATTGGTAAGAAAAAACAGTACTCAACCATATTCATCCTCGGAAAATATTCTATCTTAATGATTTGTATCGATGAATTAAAACATACCCTAGAATTCTAGTGGGAAAGGATGAAGTGATGGTACCCAAAACAGATCTCATTATATCTTCTTTCAGAAGTGGCACTCACAAATAATTATTTCCACAGCATATTTCCATATTTAACAAAGAGCTGGAGTTCTACGAACATTTCAAGCCATTACCTGCATTAATTAAGAGACAACGCAATGTTCGTTGTTTTATCACAATTAATTTTAAGTACAGTTATAATAAACGATGGCAATTGCAAAATAATTAAATCATATTACATGACTAAAAGATTATTCATCCTCAACAGATGCATATATATTATATCTTATTTCAATTTTAAAGTGGTTATCATTTAAAATATTGCATAAAAATATACAGCTTATTTCAACATTAGAAATATCAAACATAAAGCCTGTGAAAACGGCATTCCATATTTTCTAGCTTTTTCTGATGTATAAGAAGATAAAAAGAGATCGGTTAAATAGAGTACGCTTTAATCTCAGTCCTGAACTATGTTAATTACAAAAATAATATTACATCTAAGTTACACAGTCACTAATGACTTACCCACACAGGTCCTAACATCATTAATAGTGAAGTTGGAGCTTGGAACTCGTAGTCCGAGGCCAGCCTTGTCTCTAAACAGCAATGGTATGCCCAAACCATGTTTTTGCAGGTATGCTAAAGTGAGCTCTGACCCGGACATCTCTCGAAAGAGTCCGGCAAAATTGCTGAGATTATATCTCTCACACTCAATCTTCTCATCAAGTTGAAATGTTCTCCTGCCCTCAATGTCTTCATCACCAATTGTCCAGTCATCGGTGTACAGTTTTCTCGTCCTTTCCCGCTATAATAATAGCATCACATTGCGTTATATCAGTAATCATATAAAATGACCGGGAACCATAGATAATAGGATTTCAATGAACATTTGCTTAAGTTTGTTTACCAATTGACGCCTTTTAGGCATAGAGGCAGAGTCGTCAGCCATTGCAGACATGCTATCAGACGTATTTATTAGTCACTCATTGAAGATTATACTGGTCGTTAATTCGACAGGTTGGAAAACTTATCTCTTACAAAGACAATGATCGCTCCATCGATATTTACATGTCACAAGCGGTGATGAAGCAATATCAATAGAAATTTTACTTGATTACATTGTCCCAATGAAACGAGGTCGCCATTTTGTAGCCGGCCATGATCTGCGTCAACAAAAAATCCCTAAACGCCAGTTACTTACTAAGTTATCAACGTCGGTATTTATTCAATACTGGATTGGATATATCCGACTTTGGGTGCATCTCCATCACCTCATTTTATTTAACTGTGACACCTAATCTTAAACTACATATATCTAGATCCACAGATGAGCCTAGATCTCACATTGAAACTCCCATACTCAAATAAATAGCAAAGATGAGTTGGGAGATTGCTCACGGGTAGGGTCGCGCGATCGCATCGTGTGCTGCCCTCTGATTTTGTACGTGAGCTTTCACCGTTTTGGCCCCCAAGGGCGGCGCAACGAATTTGTGGTAGGGGCTCGCGCACTTGTGGGGATTGTCAAATATATTTCACCACTTTATTTATAGTTATTGCTTTATTAACATAGCAAAAGGAGCGGATTTCCACGTGCGCTCTAGAATTGGTCAGAAAGTCTTCTCATCCATTTTCAACCGTTTTGTAAACATTTTCCGACGTAGTCGTCTTTTGGTTCGAGGTAAGTAAAGTAATGTGCACGCGGAGTAACGCAGTTTACCTCGTCCTGATCGCATCGCGCTCGACCCGCTACGCCCCTGGTGGTCGATGGCCGGACTTCGTCCCGGGCCCGCCACACACTCCCGATGGCGGTGCCATCTACCAGTCGGCGCTGGCGGCTCACTTACTCGTGATGGTAATACCATGCGGCAGTTGACGGTGGTGGCTTACCTACGCTTACCAACACTGCTCGCATTTGATGATAAGGGAACTCGTGGAGCCCTTTTTGACTTTACCCTTCATTGACCTCATTTATTTCATCCGCAAATGATACAGGCAAAATTACAACGTGGGTGCTCGAAAGTTGAGTTATACTGTAGATACAATTTTTATAAGCTATGGAAATTAATAAAAAAATTATGAATGTTCCGTAAGGACACATAAAACTTAGATGGAAGGAGATACCCAACAGCATAGTTCGACGTAGTCGGTATGACGTCAGGTGTAACGTACATACATGTCGCAAGATCAAGTCCTGGTGGACGGGAAGAGTGGGTATGGTTTTTTACGTAAATTTTTTTCGGCACATTTTACAGTTGATAGCAATCGCACGAAACACATTACAGTTATGTAATTTTTTATTATGAGTTTAGTTTTTCATTATTTGTCTCACCGTCCATAAGGTGACTTTGTTAAGTTATGTGAAATTAATTAAAATCGTACCTCAAAATAACAGTATCAATCTTTCTTATCGTTAGTATTATTATTATTTAGTTACTCATGTTGCTACCGTTATCTCATTCATTGCAAAAATTTAAACTACAATATTCATTTTGAGAATGAATTAATGAGTTCGGATGATAAAAACCTTCAATTGAAATATTTATCCCCTACATTGGTAATTTTATTGCAAAACATTTGTCCTGAAATATTCCGGCTCACGGTCAAACGATGGTAATTAGCAAAATTTCAATACATCGGTAAACACCGAATACGCGAATCGTGAACGACGTGGATCGCACGAGGCGGCGAAAGATGAAAACAATGAGATTAAAGTACATTGATGTTTCGAAGCGACGAGCGCGGAGCATCGGGCACGCCCTGGTGTCACGTACGAAACTCACATGCAGCGAATCTGTGTGAGTGCGATCGCTCCTACAAATTTTCGCGCGTCCCGGCCAGCCAAGCGCCAAGCTACAGGTCGAAGCGTTGAGTATATGTGCGTCGGCGCCCACTCATGGCGAGTATGCGTGAGTGCCGATATTCGATTTGGTTTTATTTCTTGACAGTGGAAAAAATTTTTTTATTGGTAGTTAAACAAATTGTGAACTATCAATAAATAAACATCGTTTATGACATGAATTTCATGTCAAACATTTTCAAATTTCTCACCATTAGGAAGCATTCTTTTCGTAAATTAGTATAAATTGAGACCGTGCACGTCTTTCATAATTTTCTCTAATTACATCTTCAAGTTGTACAGGCACATATCTAAGCTGTAATGGCATTATATACATTTTTATTCATTTCATTAGTATACGTAATAATTATATTTTTATTTATTGTAATCATTACATATGGTACGATGGCAATTCCAGTTATATTTTTTCGGCGCCCCCTGTAATCAACTTCGTGGCTCCCGGACCGGAAGTACGCTAGAATAGGGGAGATCAGGGCAATTTATTCCGTGGCGTAAATTTACCAATGTTTAATAATTTTTCGATTTCTTATTTTATATCATTCTCGATTTTATCATACATTCCTAATCGTATCTCACACTTTCGTTGGTACTCGATATCATTTTCTGCGACATTGTTTATTTGTTAAAAAATAAAACGGAAACTGCAACGATAGGTAAATTTGTTTAATCCCCCTTTTCTTATTTTTTAGTGAACTGTAATACTTTTTGTGATTCTGAAAATCTGACATACGGAAATAGCATCAATGAGCTTTGTGTTACCATGTATATTTTCTTTAATAAAATAGTTCATCGTTTGACAATCGATCGATATAGTAACGACCGGAGAGAATTGATTTACGAGAAATGGAGCGAGTCGAGTTGCGCTCAAAATTATACCGTGACATTTATTTCATTGACTGATCCACGTGTCGTTCGTTTCATTTACAAGTAATCGTAACTTAACCTCTCGTTCGTGACAAACTTCATTGAATCTTAGTCTTTTCTTGATCACGAAGTTCACGCATAATTTAAAATAATAAATTGCAGTGATTAAAAAATATTGTATTTATTACTAGTAGTAACAAAATCTGCATGTATAAATGCGTAACAATTAACCTTTTTAGATTTTTTCATGATTTGCTAAAGCAAAATAAAAATGTGTGAAAAGGCTATTATTTTCTTTGTATTTTATCGCACTTCGGGTCCGAGCGCTGTAATGCTCGGTAATCGCTATTCGCGGAGAGCACGGGGGTCGGTCGGCCCGGCCCGGGACGGAATTCGTCGCATCGAACAGAGGACGCGACAAAGAAATAAAAATGTGTTCCGAAAAATTGTTTAAACATGTTTCTTGCGTTGTAGTTGGTGGGCAATCTGGAAAAGACTAAGATTCAATGAAGTTTGTCACGAACGAGAGGTTAAGTTACAATTACTTGTAAATGAAACGAACGACACGTGGGTCAGTCAATGAAATAAATGTCACGGTATAATTTTGAGCGCAACTCAACTCGCCCCATTTCTCGTAAATCAATTCTCTCCGGTCGTCACTATATCGATCGATTGTCAAACGATGAACTATTTTATCAAAGAAAATATACATGGTAACACAAAGCTCATTGATGCTATTTCCGTATGTCAGATTTTCAGAATCACAAAAAGTATTACAGTTCACTAAAAAATAAGAAAAGGGGGATTAAACAAATTTACTTATCGTTGCAGTTTCCGTTTTATTTTTTAACAAATAATCAATGTCGCAGAAAATGATATCGAGTACCAACGAAAGTGTGAGATACGATTAGAAATGTATGATAAAATCGAGAATGATATAAAATAAAAAATCGAAAAATTATTAAATATTGATAAATTTACGCCACGGAATAAATTGCCCCGATCTCCCCTATTCTAGCGTACTTCCGGTCCGGGAGCCAGGAAGTTGATTACAGGGGGCGCCGAAAAAAATATAATTGGAATTGCCATCGTACCATATGTAATGATTAAAATAAATAAAAATATAATTATTACGTATACTAATGAAATGAATAAAAATGTATATAATACCATTACAGCTTAGATATGTGCCTGTACAACTTGAAGATGTAATTAGAGAAAATTATGAAAGACGTGCACGGTCTCAGTTTATACTAATTTACGAAAAGGATGCTTCCTAATGGTGAGAAATTTGAAAATGTTTGACATGAAATTCATGTCATAAACGATGTTTATTTATTGATAGTTCACAATTTGTTTAACTACCAATAAAAAAATTTTTTCCACTGTCAAGAAATAAAACCAAATCGAATATCGGCTCTCACGCATACTCGCCATGAGTGGGCGCCGACGCACATATACTCAACGCTTCGACCTGTAGCTTGGCGCTTGGCTGGCCGGGACGCGCGAAAATTTTTAGGAGCGATCGCATTCACACAGATTCGCTGCATGTGAGTTTCGTACGTGACACCAGGGCGTGCCCGATGCTCCGCGCTCGTCGCTTCGAAACATCAATGTACTTTAATCTCATTGTTTTCATCTTTCGCCGCCTCGTGCGATCCACGTCGTTCACGATTCGCGTATTCGGTGTTTACCGATGTATTGAAATTTTGCTAATTACCATCGTTTGACCGTGAGCCGGAATATTTCAGGACAAATGTTTTGCAATAAAATTACCAATGTAGGGGATAAATATTTCAATTGAAGGTTTTTATCATCCGAGCTCATTAATTCATTCTCAAAATGAATATTGTAGTTTAAATTTTTGCAATGAATGAGATAACGGTAGCAACATGAGTAACTAAATAATAATAATACTAACGATAAGAAAGATTGATACTGTTATTTTGAGGTACGATTTTAATTAATTTCACATAACTTAACAAAGTCACCTTATGGACGGTGAGACAAATAATGAAAAACTAAACTCATAATAAAAAATTACATAACTGTAATGTGTTTCGTGCGATTGCTATCAACTGTAAAATGTGCCGAAAAAAATTTACGTAAAAAACCATACCCACTCTTCCCGTCCGTCAGGATTTGATCTTGCGACATGTATGTACGTTACACCTGACGTCATACCGACTACGTCGAACTATGCTGTTGGGTATCTCCTTCCATCTAAGTTTTATGTGTCCTTACGGAACATTCATAATTTTTTTATTAATTTCCATAGCTTATAAAAATTGTATCTACAGTATAACTCAACTTTCGAGAACCCACGTTGTAATTTTGCCTGTATCATTTGCGGATGAAATAAATGAGGTCAATGAAGGGTAAAGTCAAAAAGGGCGCCACGAGTTCCCTTACCATCAAATGCGAGCAGTGTTGGTAAGCGTAGGTAAGCCACCACCGTCATCTGCCGGATGGTATTACCATCACGAGTAAGTGAGCCGCCAGCGCCGACTGGTAGATGGCACCGCCATCGCGAGTGCGCGAGCCCCTACCAGACATTCGTTGCGCCGTCCTTGGGGGCAAAAACGGTGAAAGCTCACGTACAAAACCAGGGGGCAGCACACGATGTGATCGCGCGACCCTGCCCGTGAGCAATCTCCGAATTCATCTCTGATTTCAGTACATACACTGGACTATAGTTCTAAATCCAGTAAGTTACGTCAGAAACGAAGAGAAATTCCCGGTAACTTATCGGTAATTTCTCCAAAGCCTTTTTTGTCGTGAAATTATGAGAATTTGAATTTTTCAACAGATCGAACGAGAGGTTTCGATTAGCTATAGAGAAATATCGTACAGGGGAATTTCCGTTGTACGTTCTCCGTAGCCAATCAAAACCTCCCATTCGCTTCATCGCAGAATGAAATATTAGTTCATTTGAAACAAATCGCATGGAATTTTCCGTGAAGTTGTAGATACGTGAATGTTTTTAGCTGGAGGTAAATACGACCCTATAATCAATATTTTCTAATAGTAATTATTACTCTATAGTTTGAACTTTGAAGTTGATTGAAAAAAAAAAGTTATTTAAACGAAGAAGCCTAAAGTATAAATAACAAAATTAACGTTCTCTTAAGTTCTCAATGTTCCCGGTAACTTACGACATGTTTCACAGTTACCTTCTCCAATTTAATGTTACCAAGAATTTTCGAACTCTTGTACATACATTCGTTTAACCCTTTCATTGCAAGACGGTCTACATAAACATATGGTGTAAAATCTGATTGGGTCCGCATATTGTCGGCACACTTTGTCCATCAGGTATTCAAGTTTACCCCTTCCACTGCTATGCAAGGTTTGGATATTTATGGTCTAAGCGCCTTTTTGGCTTGGACTCCGTCCACATATTCTTACGTCCGTGCCTTAGACGTAAGCATATATGGACGGAACCCAAAGTCCCATCATCGACCATGGGTGAAGCTGGCGCGTCGGAAAGGGAGGGGTAGGACTGCCATGTTGTTGTGCTAATTTTTCAACCTCTTGATTGGTAAGTCATCTATTTCATATTTCATGTTTGCTGTAACGTGTTTCTTTTTGCCACTTCTGTATGTACTATACACGTAAAGAACCACTTATATTACGTGACGTATTATACCTATTCAACCCTGCCTCAAGGTCAAAGGTGTTAACGTTAAGTATAAAAATATATCCCTACATAACTGGGGATTTTTGTATGCAACTGCCGTGGAAAATGGCGGCAATGGTTCAATTTGTTAAATCAATACAGATCCACCGTTTTTCATTGTAGCCTTTAGAGTGAATGTTTGGTTGAAATTCTGTATTTTGTAGTTCTATTAATCTGATATTCAAGAAATTAATTGCTTTTAGGTTATACAGTATAAACAAAGATATAAAATGATCCCTGTACATAACGACAAGTCACTTATACATCGTGCAGTTATCATCTCGGACTCCCAGAAAGCTATAACGGAATTCATTCGATCTAGAAATGAAAAGGGAACAATTAAGTAATGCCTTTATATCTTTGCACTGTTTGTAAACTATTGTAGCTTTTATATTTTCATGCAGAATCTTCATCAGCTCTCCTATAAAGACAAATATAAACGTTTTTTTTTTTGTAATACATCGAGGTTGTGCAATCCTTTATCTAATATTTTTGAATTGAATTTTGATGATTGTTACTCACCCTAACATCTGTGTAACCTTCTTTTAAAAAACAGTTTAGAGTATACAAAATCGGATTTACTATTTTAAATTTTGTAGCGTTAATTAGAATATTTCTTGAATTTTCAATATTTCTGCAACATTTCTGTCAGTCGTAATAAAATACTATTAAGACACATACATTTCTAGAAAGATAGTTTCTCGAACTAAAAGTTGTAACCATCATACCTAGAATTTTAGAAGTGTATATTAGAATGTGTGGTAAATATACATTCAATAACATGCTTCATTTAAGTTGTCTCAAGTTTCATAACTTTCATTAACTTTCAACAACTAATAAATTGTTGGACCGAGTGAGCAAAAAATTGCAGTTGCTTATTCTAGTACATTTACAATTTATTGTTTATTGAATAATGACAGGGGCATTATTAAGAGAGTAAACATTAAATGTTATAATTATTTTCAGTTTATATGTTTTGTNAATGTTTTATTTTGTATTATTTCGTGGCACTTGGCAATAGTTAGGTATTATATAATAAATCAATTTGTAAATGAAATTATGTGAATGATAAACTATCTGATTTTAAATAAAAACAATGATTTCATTCGACTAGCAACAATTACTGATAATGTGTATGCGCATGCGAATTAAAATCACATTTTTTCATACAAGTAGTAAACAAAATATGACATGTATTAATCTTATGACATTTGACGATGAATTATGACAATGACGATGACGATGATGTAATAAAATAGATGACAGCACCAATGTAGTTCTGTTTTGTTACAAATATGTGCTGCATGTACACAGTAATATCAGGACAGTAACATAATGTAAGATAAGGGTAACAAAGTCACGCTACATTTATATAGATATGGTAGTAACAAATATTATGTAACCTGTTACCTCCATGTTACATAACTGTTAAGTTACTGTATTGTAACATATGTCATGTAACTAGTTAGCTCTATGTTACGTAACTGTTAGGTTATTCCACTGTAACAAACGTTATGTTATTTGTCAGTTTTAAGTTACATAACTGTTACGTTTGGTGTTCAGTGGGTACCTAATATTATAGGAAATATCCCGAATGGGACGTGGCAAGAGCAGGTCCTGCAGCAGAATTGGTTAAAACTCGGCGAGAGTTAAATTCAGCTGATGTAGCTTTAAAAATTAAGCGAGAAGAACAGCACACTAAAAGGAAAATAATGGATCAACAGTGGGATGAGTTGAAGTCTAAGGAGAAGCTATTACGACAATCATTTATCAAATTTAACAAATTCGTCAAAGAAAATTATGAGAAAAGAGATCGTGCTGAGCATAAAATTAATGAAGAATATGAACGTCAAATGAAGCGCCTAGAAGACGTAAGGAGCTTTTTATTCAAAGATTAAAAAAACAATTGTTTTTCTGCGATAGTTATTTTATTATATAAATTTTACTTTTCTAACGTCTAGAATATGTGGCTTCTACATGGTGTCCTTTGGCAGTGTTCGCTATTTCAATTTAATGTGTTCTAGTTGTATATCAAGCCTATACAAGATTGAGAGATAACTAAAAGGAATAAAAACCAAACAGTTGCAAAATTATTACGTAAAAAGATTTTCAGGGTGTATTGAAAAGATAGATAATGCACCTAATTAGTTGATTTTAAGACATGTCGAAGAGAACCTAAAAATATGTTTTTCAAGAAGTTTCGGAAAACTTATTAGACGTGTTCTGCAGATGAAAAGAATTATCACGATATGATTGAATTGATTTTCAGAAGTTGATGTCATATGACCCTTAAAATATGTTCCGTGCGCGACACTCATGTATTTAAATTCATCACGGCCTTTGAAATGTCAGACAAATTTCCAAAAAGGGACTTACTGCCTGTTTGGGCCCATCGGGCCATTTACCAATTTCCTGACTCCGAAATCCGTTCGTAAATTTTAGTTTTCTACGATACGGTTATATTGCCCCATACGTCCCATCGCCAAGGTTTAGGGTTCTTTCGAATTTTCTCGGGTTGACCGTCCCTATTCTTTACCGTCATACCTTTTTTAACTTTACCGCTAACACGTACGCGCAACATGCACACATGCATACAGCATGTTTTTCCATCTGCACGGACACTAGAAATTTTCCGTTTTCAACTAACCGTATTGAACAGCTACCGACCAATTACGAGGCTGACTATTCGATTTTAACCACACTCCTTAAAATCAGTCAGCCAATCTCTATGCAAGAAATATGCTACCACCTCCTCAAAAAAAGTAATGCGACCGGAGGAGGAATCCTGTATTTTTTCTGTAAGTCAGTCAGTCTCCGTCTCTCGATATAATTCAACGTCTCTCGTCAGCCTTCACCATCATCTCTGCAGCTGTTATCGGTATTCACGCGTGAAGAGCTGACAAAATTCAATAAGTGATTCGTTTATTTAATATTATAATAAATTTAAGTTGTTTCGTTCGCGGCAAGTCTCACTTCATTCGGGTACCTTCCTTCTTCGCGTGAGCAGTTGTACGAATAACCCATTTTGCAATTCTACTTGCAAAAACAATTGGGATTCATACAACAACTGCCCGACAAACTAGCCGGGCAGAACAAAATATATTCTTAACTTTAGTGAAAACTGCTTTATAACATCATTTTAAATTTGCTTCATGATAAATGTATCATCATAGAAAGTAATTTTCATGTTAGGGTTTGGAGTTTCAGGCAGAGGACAGTGCAAACAAATTGAATCATATGAAAGAAATTAGGGATAATATGCAACAACACATTAAAAAATATAAAATATACCAGACTTTCCTGGAAAGGGTTGTCAGCGAAACTGGACAATTTCAATCGATCGCCGACATTTTCAATCGCTATGAGACCTTAGTAGAAGCGAAAGAAGCCCTTTCAGAGAATCAAGATAAAAAACTCCAAGTTTTAGAGACTACCGGTACCGAAATGGTAACAATGCCAATTTTTTCTACTTAGCCGTTAGCATTATTTAATGAGAAAGAATTATTACTATTGCAGTACCATATGACGGAAGTAAAGTCACAAATATTGATGGGCCTGAACAATAAGTTAGCTGAAATACAAGGTAAATTTGATAGAGCCAAGGCGGAAGCTCTGAAGTGGGAGACCATCGTTTCACAAATTAAAGCTGCGGCAGCAGCGAAAAATCTCGAACTTACGCAAGTTAATTTTTGTTCCTGGAACATGTATCAGCAAATCTGTAAGAGAAAAGGTCTTCTCGTAGAAGTCAGCCGCGAAGATGCCGAGCAGCAGCTAGTACATGTTAAGCGTACGATTTTGGAATTGAAACGTATTACAAAAGTGGCAGCTAAAAAAGCCTTTAGAGAAGACAAAGGAGCTACTACTAAGTAGTTTGAATATTTTGCGACGTAAATACTGTTCAGGAATAATAGACGTTAATGTGATACGAAAGAGTCAGCCCATATATGCATGTGAGAGGTCAAATCGTTCGTGAAAGTATTCTTTGAGTTGGATGTACCAATTCGTTTCAAATTATTCCACGTGAACATGAAGGACCTGAGATAGATCCTGAAGCTCATAAAATTTCATTTCTTCTTAAAAAATGTTGATTTATCATGGACTAGAACCAACCTGGCATCGTCCGTGCACGGTTTTGTAGGCTTAGAATTGAAAATAAAGAGTTTGAGGATCTAGCTTGAACAATTTAGAATACTATCCCACACGGAACAAAAGCTCTATTATACGTATATCGAATGTTTTCATGGCTACGGGATGTTTCAGTATATCAGAAGTTAAAAATATACGTATAATATATGTTCACGGAATGTCAAAAATATTCTATTGGTTTTTAGATGTACATTACATGTATTAATTATGTTACTAGAACATCAAAATTTGCACCAATTAAATACGTTTAGTAAACGTATAATACATCTCTATTTAATGGACTCCTGTATCTGCGATATTATACATGCAAAATACATCTAATGAACGTATGTTGTGTGTATATTAAGGGAAGAAAAACTGATCTACCACAGACGTAAAATATACGTACATTCTATGTAAACAAATATAAATTATTTTACTCGTAGGATTGATATACGTACTTTATATGTTCCTAGAGCAACCACGTTTTCACAAATAAACGACGTATACTAAACGTATAATATACTTCTATTTAAGGTGCACTTGTGTCTGACATATTACACACGCAAAAGACATGTAATATGTGTAAGTTGCGCGTATATTAAGTAAATGAATATTAATTTGCCGTATACATATGATTACGTATTCATATTACATACGTATAATGACAAACATATAGGAAAATTTATTTCTACCCATAAAGTACATAATACAACAAATGCTTGTAATATGTACCTAGATGTATTCAAATAACATGCTACATTAAATGCTTCTTTGCTGCATGTTTGTTATATGCTTCATTGGTGTGCGACCTGACTACTGCAGACTGAAAGTGAAGCTCATACAAAATCAAATTGATGTCACAAGATATATCGTTTTGGCCGCGACGGTTTCCTTATACAAGTTCAAGTATTTGCAAGGAATACACACCCCCACCCCCACCTAACACACACGCACGCACGCACACACACACACACGCGCTCGCGCATAACTTATATACATGTCCTTATTTTTGACCAGAGATTGGCAATATTAATGATATCGATTAAACCAAATTTTAATTAAACTTATTACTGCAGTGTTTTAATATGCGAAACATATCGCATAATCCATAGGACTACGGTAGCTCAGTGGTCGGCACAACTATAGTCTGTTACCTAAATGATTCGGGTTTGAATCCCGGTCACCACCATGGGGATTTTTTCAATGTCAGATGTTTGTATATCTCGAAGATTTCAGGTCCCTGAATAGATCGTGGTAAATTGTTTCTAAGAAAAAATGCATTTAGTGCAAAATAAATAATACTTTTTCAAATTAATCCACCTACGTTTGGGATACGTCTTAAATATGTATAAAATACGTATAACATTATACGTGAATAATATGTCCAGTGTACGGCTGTTGAACTTTTGAATATAGGCATACCATCCATTGAAACTTTATTTATTGGTTTATTATACGTATATACGTCTGTGTCACATATCTTATATAAGTCTACTATACATAATATGTCTACCATATATCTTGTTTACATATAATATACATACTTTATCCATATGGAATGTATATTAAATGAAAGTGGAATGTTCAAAAATACATATATTATATGTTGACGGCGCAGAAGTTTGTACATGCCCCGGTACATTCCGTATACTTTTGTATACATCTATTACATATCTGAATGTTTTAGCCAGATATCCTATATTTGCCGGGTCAACTCGGCCGATGGATCGGGTTCCCACCCGACCTAGCCTGGAAAGCTCGTCAAACCACGCTGGAGCATTATGTCTCAGCTGGCGCCTTGCACGAATGCTCGCACCACGCGGGTGCAGGGGAGGGACCTCCTCGAGGTTCCCCGCGGGCAACGGGTGGGGTCAAGCGGCCTCCCTTCGGGGAGTGCGTCGCGGAGGCCCTGTCCCGGCAAGCGCCTCCCCAGGGTTTGTCGATCGGTCCGGAGCATTCGGGTTTTTCCCGGCCCGTCATGGGCCTTCGGGCCCCTTTGACGTTAGGGTTGCCGGGTGGGGTAGGAGGTGTAACCCCCCAGCAATGGGGGGGCCGATAGGGAGGTACACCCTCCAGGTGCGGTCGGCCGCAAGGCTGATACAATATTATTATTATACGTATACCATATCTAGTTGTCCGTGTGGGATAGTAATGGAATATTACACAGTCAGACGCGAAAATATGGAAAATATTTTTATGAATGATTGTAACAGAATGCTTATCGCATGGGTAACACGTATTTTTAAAGCAAACATTAAATTGCATCTGAACGTCACAGATGGCGCCGTTAGTCTATTAAAGTATAATAAATTATTGACAGTTTTACTTCAATCTCTTTATAATTATTCTATCGAAATAATATTCGAAACGCTTCATTTCGTATCATTCTCAACGTAGAGTGTAACAGACATTAACGTAAATACAAATCCCACCAAAAACACCTTTGGTGTAAAAAAAAAGACAAGTTCATTGCCTGATGTCCCGGTAAAAAGGCTTGAATACAATAGGATTCAATGTCTCATAGTTTCAACGTAAAAGTGATGATTTTTCTATTCTATTTAATACCTGATTTTTCTCTCCAGGTCCAATTCCCACAACAGGAATATATTTTCTGTGAATCAATTATAATCTATTCTCCTTTTGTATTCTGATTTTTGTGCAATTCCGAAAAGAGGAATATATTTCTGCTTTGTTTAATTCCTTCTAGTCCGGTAAGAAATGTCGATATTAAATTGTTTCGTATTCCGTTCACAGGAATACATTATAGGAATGCCTAATTCCTTCCAATTCCTTTAAAAAATTTGTATATTCAATTGCCTTGAATTCTTTTTTTGGAATATAAGTTTATAAGTTCAAATTTAAATCAATTCCACTTTATATACCCGAGAGATTAAGTAGTTGAATTCCAATATTTGAGATTGGTTTCAAATGTATTGTTTTCTCCTGAATTCCAAATATAAATTTGATTAAACCTCATGCATTTTAAAAAGTATTTACTAAATAAACATGAAATNAGTGGCTACTGATTCTTTGTAGGAATGTTCGCAGTGATTCCAGAAGGTGAAATGACATCAGGCAATGAACTTGTCTTTTTTTATACACCAAAGGTATTTTTGGTGGGATTTCTTTTCCTTTTGCAAAGATATACATACATACACGTTTCATTTTATTAAATATCATAACAGAAATTATGATAAGCACTACACTACAAGAAATAGTTCAACGACAAGTAGTGGATCGAAAGAAGTAATTTTTACTGTACCATAAGTATTGGACTACGAGACCCAAATGACATTACGAAAGGTTTCACACGTTATCGTAATGCAAGAAGGTTGGTTAATAAAATTAATAATGAAGTTAATAAAGATACAGTTTTCTTTCATTATGATAATGTGAGAAACTTTTTGTAATGTCATTTGCCTCTCGTATTCTAATACTTGCGGTACAGTAAAAATTACTTTTTTGTTACACTACTTATCGTTTAATTATTTCTTGTAGACTGTGACTTATAATAGAATAATAATATTGCTCATAATATAGTAATTTATTCCGGCGAAAATATAAAAATTTCTTATAGTTTCGTACTTATCATAGAATAAAAATGATTTCTTTATATAAATTGTTCTAACAGCTAGTATCCTACGTTCTGCTATTTGTTACTTTTTTTATCATTCATATAAAGCAAATGATTTTCATGCTGTGATAAGTACTAAGGTATGAGAAATAACTATACAATATGTTGTGGATTATAAGAAGAAATAATTTTTACTGTACAATAATTATTAAACTGCAAGAAGTAAATGGCACTACGAAAAGTTTCTGACATTATCGTAATGTAAGAAAATTGGTAAATAAGGTAAACAAATTTAATAAAGATAGAGTTTTATTATTAACGTCACGATAATGTCAGAAAATTTTTGTAACGCCATTTACTTCTCGCAGTGTAATAATTATTGTACAGTTAAAAATACAATTATTTCTCATACATTAATACTTATCACAGAATTGAAATCATTTTCATTATATGAATTGCCAATTAAGTAGCATATAGCAGAACGTAGGCTACTAGCTGTTATAGCAATTTACATAAGGAAATCAATTCTATTCTGCAATAAGTATGGAACTATGAGAAATTTTAATATCTTCTCTGGAATAAATTACTGTACTATGAGGAATATTATTATTCTATGATAAGCACCAGTCTACAAGAAATAATTCAACGATTAGTAATAGAACGAAGGAAATAATTTTTACTGTCCCATAAGTATTAGAATATGAGAAGCAGATGACATCCCAAAAAGTATTACACTACAAGAAGTAAATGTCACTATGAAAAGGTTCTCACATTATTGTAATGTAAGAAAACTATGTCATTATGAAATTCATTATTAACTTTATTAACTAACTTTCTTACATTACGCAAATGAAAGAAACCCATCATAGTGTCATTTACTTCTCACATTGTAATAATTTCACTACAATACAGTAAACATTATTTCTTCTATTCCACTACTTATCGTACAATTATTTCTCATATTGTAATACTTATCATTGAATAAAAAGTAGTAAATTATGCTATACGATGAGGAATATTATTATCCAATGATAAGTACTGGACTACAAGAAATAATTCTACGATATGTAGTGGAATGAAAGAAATAATGTTTACTGTACAATAATTATTACAATGCGAGACGTAAATGACATTACAATATGTTTCTTCAATTATCATAGTGTAAGAA